AAACTCAAAATTTGAATTGAGTTCTGTTTAAAAAAAAAAAATAGTAATCAAAGTAGTTTATGCTTTACTATTAAATGTAATCTTTTCACAAGGCAAGTGAAAAAGAGAGAGAGAAGAGAGATAATAGGGGTGATGTTATTTGTTTAAAGACTGGGAAAAGGAATTTTTTTTTTTTTTTAACAAAACTTTGTTATCCATCTCGGTGACAAAGCCCACGGGACATATTCTTACAATAAATTATCTTTTCCAGTTTTTACTTTAATTTTATTGGGGTGCATTTATGGCCTAATAATTTTACAAAATTCATTTAAAAGTCGAAACCAACAATTATATTTTAACCTCAAATTTTTAGCAATGAATTTAATAAATTACATTTTAATTTAATAATTTTATATTCTGGTTGTGGTTTCCAACTTTCCCTTTTCTCTGCAACAGAAACGGTGGTCTCGCCATTGATCAACATCAAGCTCCGTGATTGTCCACCCTCCCTCGGCTCCGACCCTCCCAATATGAGAGGTATTTTATTTCTTCAGTTCTTCAGTTCTTATGCAAGTGATATACGCAAAAGTTATAAGTTGATGTGAGTTATGATCGATAAAGCATCATACTCCTATTTTTTTATTTTTTATTTTTTTTATGGAATCTGAATAGTGTTGTGGAATTAAAGGTCTAGCAAGAGTTTGAAAAAATAAATTATAAGAAATCAACAGGGCACTAATCGATCCCCAGGGAAGACTAAAGTTTTTGCTAATTTAAGGGAGATTTCTTTTTCTTCTTTTTCTTTTTTTTCCCTTCAGTTTGTGTATTGGATTTCAAATATTTACTTTTAGATTTGTGGATTATGCTGATTAGGTTATACAACTATTTCTCTTTTAGTCTACAAAACATGCTAATGTGTTTTTATCTTTATTAGTTAAACATGCTGAAAGTCCAATTTTGTCATGGTTTGATTCTAGGCATGTAATTCTTTATCTTTGTATGGATGTTATGTTATTTTTTTGAGTAGAGTAATTCATGATCTTCTTTGTTTTATTTATTTTATTTTTTTTGTTAAAAGTAAATAAAATAAATAAAATTGACTAACTGAACGGGATTGAGCTTAGGTGTTAATATTATATCATATGGAGTCGAGACACTCTTCCATTGATGTAGCAGAACTAGGATTTATTGAATTGTTAAGCTCTTTCGACCTTCATATTTGTTGTTTTGAAATTCTTTCCATGTCCTTAATATATTGCTTTTTAGGATGTTAGTTTTGATGCTCATTTTCTTTGGAAAAATTCACATTGATTGAAGTTTGTAATTTTTTTATTTACCAGTGTGAACTCTTCCAGATTGAGGCATGAGTTATAGTTATAAAGGTAAATTCATGATTTAATAAAGGTAAACTTCCTTCATATTTTATATTTTAGATTTAGATTTTAGATTTTTCAAACTTTCCATTGTTTTTTCAATGTGTTGGGTTAGTTTTAGGTTTCTTTATCAGTTCAAATATTTAAAATTTCATCAGATTTTTAAACTTTCATCCCATAAATATATCGAGTATTCCACCATAAATCGGCCCATAAATCAGTAGTTTCATCATATTTTTATCAACCCATAAATTAGTAGTTTGTACCAAAAAAGTTTGATGGGTTTTGATTTCTGAAATTTGAAATGGATTTGATGGGTTTTATTCGCAGAAATC